TCAGCATTTACCCACTTATGTCAACTCGACATGACAGATAATTGATGATACAGGAAAGGATATAGCTTTAAGTCACACGATATGTTTAACATAAATCGTAAGAAATAACAGTAATGCCCACTAAAGCTAATACGTGGTGACAACTAGCGTAAAATTGCGAGCTTTTGTGGAAACTATTATTGACACCACTTAACTGCGTGTTATCGACGTAAGTACACCCCCTAATATCATATACTTAAAATGTTCCGCATAACGCCTTGGATAGCTTCCCCTTTACGGGACGTGTTCGTGACGGGTGGTTCGGGAAGTTGGCGTATGATCATCGTGGTCCACGTTCGCTACGTCAGCTATTAGGTAATACGCCTGACTCCTAGCACGAAATAGTGTGTGCGTCGCTGGGCAAAAATTTTTAGGTTAGGTCTACAATATTTGTTGTACCTTGCCACCATGCAACCATTAATTACTATCCATTGAGTCTATGGGTTAAATATCCTCCTGCACGCGCATCCTAAATTGTTATTAATGAAACTGTTTACTTCGCAACTGTCGTTAAGTAAGAGTTGAAATTTTTTTACAAGAGAAAACCTTTTGAGGGAGAACTTAATGACAACAGTATAATTTCATTATAGTAAGTCTTTGGCGAAACGTGTTTTTAGGCAGTGACGGCTCATATTGTCGCAATTATATAAAGCTGTGCTGGTTAGTCGATCCGCTTCGAATTACGTCCGGACGATTAAGCGTTGCTTCAGTCCAATCAACAGTAATGCCACCACGGAAGCGGTAACAGCGCATAACCGCCTACGAAACAATGGAAACTAATTAGAAAATAAAATATTCCACCTGCTAATGCTACTAACAATAATACAATGTTAGGTGCATTTCGAAGTCTACTTAAGTAAGTGGCGGTAAAGAAGTTCATATCTCCTGTGTTACCTAAATTTTCATATTCCGTATTGTACGCACAGTCGCTTCCGATATGACGTGCATCATAGTATTGTAGGAAACAAACCACAGACGTAATTAAAGACACGCCAAGGCGGGTTTCTTTCGGTGCAATTCCTGTTGTCCGTTTCTTACCACAGTACAGGTCATAATACCGAACGAATCAGGAAGAAAGAGGTAAAGAAATTAGCACCTATTTGTGAATTATGCCCAGGTACGTATCATTACTAGGCACGAACACGAGACGGTTTCGATGTATATGAGGCCATTGACATGCTGGCGACAAAAGGTGAAGTTAAATTCTGCACGTGATGCATCTGAGCGAAAATGGCAACGGAGTACACCCCGATGTTATTCAGTTTATACATATCAGTCACTTTTTCGTTAATTGTCTTCGTAAAGTCCCTGGATGTGCTTACAATATATTGATTTTAATATTTTCGTGATTCTAGGGTGCCTTACTGCTTATTGGAGTCGTTCTGCGATAGAACTTGTTAGAATCGTTGTCTACACGAGCGTAATAAGTAACATTTTCGAACAAGTAGAAGCTGCAGGGTACAGTAACGGCTTACACATGTTACAAACCAGCTGTGTATCAAGCTAAATTGCATAATTATTACTTGTTAAAGACAGAGTCTGAAGTAGAGAACACATCGCATTCACGTGTTTTGTAGTCGCACATCTCAAATCCGCAATGACAAAATGCTTGTATATATATATATATATATATATATAGGTGGGGAAAATGAAAATCGCCGAGACTCACAAACTCACACTTGTTCAGGCGACGCCCCGTTTTTAGCAATAAATAAGAGTGAGTATCAGAAATTCTAAAGCACTACATATTGCCAGACACTATTCCGTGGCCGATGGTAGTTCCCTGCATGTCAGTCGTACCATGGGACGGCCTTCCCGTATAACCGGGCCGAAGAAACCGCCACCGTTCAAATTACCCGAAATCATCATACTAGTTTATTACTACGACACAAAGTCACCGACTTCTCGTAAAGATCACAACGTTAAGCGTAACCACTGTAGCGGAACGTCTACTAAACCTAGTGCCTCTACGCAGCTTTGGACAATGGCAGCAGCTGGTGGGATGCTAGTTTCGATTTCTGTCCAACCGTTCAACTATTACAATCGGAGAACTCTGAATATATTTGCAGGAGAACAGGAAAACGATCCTGATAGTATGCGAAATTAATGTAAGATTTTGTGATCGATCGTGTGTAAGCACACGGTTGAGCTCTTACGCGAGCATAAATCTCTGCTTTCGAGGAGCGTCATGCTGTCCATGGTATATTGCAATGTGTGAGGATGTTATTTTTTGCAGTGTAGGTACGGTCTGTTCTCTTCTCGGAGTGATGACAACTTGCTCAGAAGTATGAAAATTACTCTATAAAATCCACTGAAAACCTAAGCGTTTTGATGTTTCTCTATCGAATATCAATTATCTGCAACTTATCTGTTCTGCCTTTGGAACTCTATTTTTCTTATATCTGAGAACCACTGCCATGCCCGTCGTAGACGTAGTCTGACCGTGCGGTAGGTTGAGGCGATTTGAATTTCTGCGAAAATAAGGGCCCCACACCCTGTAGCGCATTGTACACTCAGTGGCTAGAATCTTTAATCGCAGCGGTCTTTTAATCGCTCCCCTCTTAACCATTGAAGTATAAATAGTGCTTAACTATGAGTGGTTAGGTAATTTTTATTCCAAGTTATATGCAGAACTTACTTTAACGCTATAACTCGCCATAGAGAATTAATTAGTTCACATAGAGTACTTAAAGGAAACTGATAGCCGAAATTGACTTCTGTGACGGCGTATATAGACGCAGATTTGCTTAAATTCAGATTTCCGCAACGTAAACTTTAGTTAACGTATCTGCCTTGGATATATGGGAGCCGAATTGAAATCGTATTGATTCAATCGGATGTTACTCATTTAAAATCGCCCGCCAATAACTATTCGATTAATGGCTAGATTAAGAAGTGCTCGACAGCCGAACATTTGAGCGCTTTTAACAATTCTGATTCAACTCTAGAGGCGTAACCAATATCAGAATTATGCACATACCATTCAAATAGAATTCAACTATTGTCCATACTAAACTCTGCACAAAGACGTAACGTAAGATATTTTGGGTAAAAGCTGTTATACAATACGCGTCTGCTATTCGTCCAAAATCTGTATTTGTATCGCTCGCAACACTGCTACGGCAGGCCTAGGCCATATGCTGTGATAGATTGGAACCTAATGCCAAATAAATTGTGTTCTTAGGAGCGAGCTGCCATGATAGCCGTTGGGACAGATTGCCTCCCAGTAGTCCAGTACTTCTAGACAATGAACGTCGTTATTGTTAACTTTAGGTGCACTCGAATATAGTTCTAAACTTAACGATAGATGAATTAGCCCACAATGAGCCCGTCAAGGTTCGATGGACTTGATTTCGTTCCAAAGTTCTTTCGTAAGTTCGCATATTTCGTTGTGGATTCCTCTAGCGTTTTTCTAGGTGTACTAACGATGGCTATTTTGGGAATTAATTTTTTTTTTACTTTTACTGTTATTTTTTGTATCTAAAGCAGTTGGCATTTAACATTCATAGAGTCAGGAGCACTTTATATTATGGTCCGGGTGAATGAGACAATCTACATACCATCTAGCTCTATTTGATTAAATACCTGAGCAAAAGACAAGCTACGTTTAACGTTATCTACTCAATGTCCAACTTATTTGCCTACTAAACAAATTTAACATAACAAATATGGCAGTCCATTAAAGCTGACGCCAAATACAACGATCTAATTTATGTAGACTGCGTGTACGAGGGTGCTCAGCGGAACTATTCTCGAAGCGAATGGACGTTACTCACGAAAGTTCACGGAAATCATCTGGCCTTGACGATTTGTTTGCCCCAAGTAACATGATTTTACTCAGAGCTGTCGGCGATCCTATATTTAGAAAGCGTTCGGTCATTTTTTATAGTCCAAGTATGAATCCTAAGGCTAGTGGATCATGTAGAGCTTTGATGGGTAATGACAAATCTGTATTCTCCGTATTCAAAAGTGATCGATCGTGACAGAACCCCAGAGACGAGTGGGGACCTGTCATAGTCGAGGTCTTGCTGTAGAAAGCCCGAAGCTAACAGATCCTCGAAAACTCAATTTGAAGGGACATTTTTATTTGGCAAACCAATAGTAATAATAAACTAAGCTGGTAATTAAAAGTAATATGCATATATATATACACATTACCTTTAAAATGTATATGCAGTGAGCCGCCAGGATATTCTTGGAACTTTTTGTTTTTAGTTGGAGGGCAGCAGAGTCAATAAACACCATCACCTCCGTTTTATTTAACTAGAATTTAATATAAAAGTAGAAACCGTGCCAAATAGAAACAATCAGAGTTGGACGGCAATGCATCTGGTAATTCACGTAGGCTACAACGAAGATCAGCGCAATGTATGTAATGTATTTATGATATATACAGTTACCTAGGTAAGGCTAGCTAGGTAGAGGAACATTCGTAGTTTAGGTAACTATTATAATTTTTCCAATATTTGCTCTGTTAAGAAACACCCGGCGCTTTAAACTTAGCGATTTATGTCATTGATCCAACATCAGGCCTAAGGTGTCAGCCGCAAGGCAATGTTTCAACAATAGATAGTAGTCGTTTTCGAGCACAGCAAAGCAGCAAGCAAAATGTCCACCAGGCATTAAAAAATAGGTCTTCATTATTTTCAGGAATATTTAGAGACTTACCTCCAACATTCAATGTAATTGTTATCACTGCTCATAACAGAACACTCAAAAATATCACATGTCGCTAGAAAAAATTTCGATTTCCTAACCTTGTCGTAATCGCCTACATGCTAGGCACTAATCTATACCGTAATAGTGATACGCACGCAAATCTCCGTTGCCACAACTTGAAACCTCTGTCCAGCCACGAACTTTTCCTCAATCAATGCGATTCCACCCTATTTTCACCTCTTAAATTGTAAATATCTATAAGGATGCAACAGATCCGTAAATCTTTCTGTGCTGCCTCCTAGTTGTCAACTTAAGAATTGCTTCATCACTCGGTAGCCTGAGCCTCCTCACAGCTACCCCACAAAGGTTCCAAATGAGACGTCGCCTGGCTGCCCTTGCCGCTCGAAAAGTCAGCAGTATTAAAAGCAACAGGATCAAAAGGACGATTCAGCAGACCGACGACTTAGTCCCAGTGTGGCAAAGGTATCTTCTTTATATATATCTAGATATATATTTATGTATATATAAGCATATTGTGTAGTCCGTGTCGTTGGCAAAACTTAAACTACCGACTTCATGACCCTTCTAACCACTCGCTTGGACCTCTAGGCCACCGTGTCAACTTTCTTTATATATATATATATATATATATAGAGCGTGTTTTGGGGGCGAGCGAACAATTGACCAGCTGTGTCTCGTCTCCAATATGAGTTAATTGCTTCAGGCAATCAAATTGTTCAGTCCCATCACACGATGATTTCAGCGAGGATCGTATCAGTGTTTTCAGCCGCTACTGGCTAAATTTTGTCACCAAGCTGTGATGTTATTCAGAAGCCCGCTCGGTTACGTCCAAAACAGGAACAAGTCATTCGTAACATATTAAGGGACAGTAAACCTAGAGACGTCATGGACAAGATCAAACTGGCGAGAGAATGCCAATACAACGGCGGAGGGTAAGTTACTGCAATGCAGTGCGTCTTCAATGAATTGGATCAGTTTGCCGCCATAGAACTAACTTTGCCAAGCCAGCTTGCTTACTTCAAGTAGACTGGATGGATTTGACTCATACGAGCATTTACCACGTGAGCACCGCTCCATATAAGGCTAATCATGCTTGACAACTTCGAGCTACAGTGAGTTGACGTGCTTGATTGTCGTTTAGGAGGTAGAAAATCTTATACTAGCAGCATTTACCAAAATCGTACAGGCTGTTTTCTGTAGTCGATCTAACGTTGCCGCATTGCTTGCCGAATCTGTTTTGAAAAGTACGAAGAATGAAGAAGCCTGTTCCAGAATCAGTAAACAGGTAGAAACAGCTACAATTACGGTCAATTGAAGTAAATAACGTTGACAATAATAATAACAAAGTAACGGTTATTTTCATTAATTAAGTTCTGTAATGCAGTCGAAATCTGATGCAACTTACTGCATAACAGGAAACAATCGGTGGTTTAATCAAAGGAATACTTCTATTTGAATCGATATTTTTATGTCGCGGGAGATAGAGTCTAGTTGCATCTACCGGGCCAGACGAGTAATTGAACTGGATGTATAGGGAAAGCTCAGCCTTAACTTTTTTTGTTCTGATGATGCACAGTAGTACGTAGAAGGCGGTCCACCAGAATAGTAACGAAGTACGTTGTTGCTGAGTTACCTCAGAGGATTACTGTGTCACTGAAAATCGCTCGTTGGCTTGACCTTAGAGAGTTTGGTTTCTACACTGAAAAAGTTACGTAGTTAAGCAGACTGTAGCGCTTGACCGAACCTAAAAATAAGCTTTGTGTAAAAACGAGAAACGTTTGCTTTTGATGAACACTTCCCATCCACGTGGCTATCTACGAAGGGGTTTCCTTGGCACCTCAAATGTGCACCCCTTTTAGCAGTCGCGAACTTCCGAGTCCTAAGTCGTCTTCACCGCTCTTAAGTCTCCTCTACGACAGCTTTTTCATCGTGGGTTTTAGATAGACATTATCGCTATGTCAGCCGCCTTCGTTGTTCACAGACTCGAATGTATAGATTCAATTAGTAAATATGCCTATAGCTTAAGTCCCTACCCTAATCCGTCTTCTCTCCATTGTCCAAATTCCATTTATTCATAAGCAGTTTGTCTATTCACAGGGATACAGCAGTATTTCAACAGGTATCCTCCGCACAATCATGTGACTATCGCACGCGTCGTATCGATCAACAAATGCACCGCTGTTTACTTCTTGAATGAATGCAGCCCCGTTCGACCTCAAGCGTCTAGGCAACGATATCGGTCTTACATGTCTTGAACTCAGACCTGTCATAGCGTATACTATATAAAATACCCCCTAAAATAGACAATAAAGGTGTCCATGCACCATAGATGTAATAGCAGCCGGCTCTGGGAGTCGTCCGTGTCCCGCTTTGCTCAAATTTTTTAGCTGTCGAAAACCTCAATAGGGCAGTAAAGGATGAAGGCAAACTCGTTCCCGTCACAGAGGTTACCCCCCGACACCAACAAAGCCCTGAGAAAGTTCCCGTGCTACATGTCACCGGTGGTACACAAGAGACGTTCGAGGAAACGCTCTAGATTAGATCGACCCAGATACGAACCTAGCTATTCGATGATACGATGACACAGTATCTGACGTGACAGCTGTTGCTGGTGCAGGTCTCAATCTGCCCCCGTGACAAGCTTCCGCTTCTACTCCTGCCCCACTTATGTGACAATTTCTTGGTTTCTAAGAGTTGCTGGGGCGGCTTGACTCAGCGAGGCGCTTAAGTGAGAGAGATGTCGAGAATCAGATACAATGTTCAGGTGCGCCGACACGACTAAAGTGAATGGATACTCGATAAGAAAACGTATCGAACGCTGTAAATAATGAGCAGCACTGCTGCTTGAATAGTCCAACGCCCCAATTGTTCACTAAGACGGTTTGTATCGGTCGTCGTTACCGCTTACTCTGTATCGGTTGGCTCTCAAACGATTTTCAAACGATTCTAATACAGAGTGCGCGTGATAGTAGAAGTATTAGTGTTAAGCTACGGCCCCTGTCAATAAATATGCCCACAGAAGACAGTGATGCCTTAAAGTAAAATCTTCGCAGTTCTAGGGTGAAGCGATTACTTGATTAATATTATAGTCGTCATCCGATGCATATATATAGCCTTCGTATTCAGTCGACAGTTTATGGCAGTGTGTTTTTCGTTCCCGCGAAAAGCAATCGAACGTGTATTATGCTATTACTAGAAATCGCTTACTGACGCCGACTACTTTGGTTTACAATGTATGAATTGTAGTGCATCTCGGGATTGTTTCCCCTCAATCCAAATTTCAGTTGTTTTTCCTCTACCTGATTTCATGCTCTCTCGGGATGTAGATGGTGCGTGTTTCGAGAAGTCGAAATTCGTCGGAGTCAGCACCAGCAAATGCAACGGTATCTGTAGATGCTGGAGTAACGCAAAGGGGACCAGTGTCGTTTGACATCTCGTCCGTTGAACAACGCGAGGCCATTCGTAAGCAGGTAGCCAACAAAGCACTGAGGCGGCTTATGTGTGATCTTTTATGTTAGTTTGGATTTTTTTTTGATAAATAGCTGATCCTTGCGGTTACTCAAAATTAATTACCAGCTACAAGATCTTTCCTAGTGTCATGTAGTCATAGTGTAATGAACGGTAGCGCTTATTGCAGAACTATTAAGCTGGGTCGACGTTGGGCACGCCCATTTTGCGTCATACCGAGGACCATCTATCCCGTATTTTCTCTTAGCTATCCAGCTAGTCAATTATATGCACGGATCTCCAAACCAGTTTGTCAGAACGTGAAAATTAGTGCTAACTATAAATGATCCTCACTTTCATTCCTTTTGCCAGCTGTAACTGTAACCATCACAACCAGATAACAATTCTATAAGCAATACCTAGATTTATAAAGCGGCAATAAAAATGTCTGTCTCAACCAGAAGAATAAATTTGATTGAACGCTCTGAAGATTATTCGTGAATGTACCGCTCCATTGCGATACAGCAAAAAAAGATGAACTCTGTTAATGACGCACCTGATATGGCTTTTGTGAAGCCTCTGATGTCAATAGAAAAGTGAAGCGTATAAGAACCATGAAGCTTTGCTCACATGATCATGAGGTATCGGTTTAAGTATCTCAGCAATTCCCTTGTTCGTCGAACTGGCAACCTATGGTCGTACAAGCTTTTCAACAGAACACTTAATGGTATTCGGTACAAACGGGCCCTTGCGCATTATAATCTTTCTCCGTATAATATTTCTATTGACTTTAACTAAACATATTACAGAACTGAAAGCTTCCATCGAGCAAGTTAGTTGCAAATACACCCGCCAAAGCCCTCGGCTAGTGGCCCTCTCGTTGTCTACTGATCGATCGGTATCTGCCCTTGACGAAGATAGGAACGTTTTATCGAGTATGAAATTATTCAAATTGTGCGTCTTTTTGTTGTCGTTGCTGCTTTTTATAAAATACAACTCTCTACGCGAGCGTTCTCAGAGGTACGATGGGATGCCGCTGCGATACGCGCGTCTACTCAGCCGAAGAGAAAAAGCCTGCCCCGGATGTTCTCGCCAAAGGCCTATCACAGGGCCGCAACTGCACCAATATGACGTGGATCGTCGTTCTTGTACTCTATTCGGCGTTAATGGTTTGTAATGAAAAGCATTTAAATTTGTCTTTTAATCATTTTATATGTCGGAGTGAGGTACACGGCTGGAGAAAAAGCTGTTTGAAGAAATCCGGAATTTGATCGCGGTTTTCGCGCCTCGTTCAAAATAAACATCCATTGACGATAACAATTACATTGACAAGAGCGCTCAATGAACACTTTTAGGCAAAAGACAAGGAGCATTTATCCGAAAGGATCTCGTTCATTGAGTCCATCTTCTTCATAATCCAAACTCAAATAATCCAAAATAAGGCAAACGGTCCTTGTGAGGGAGGACGCAGGCGTTGAAAAAATTACTTGATCACTTGTATGAAGTGACAACCTAAAATGAGCAGTAATTAATCGGCATGTCCAGTGTACGTACTAACGAACTTCTACTCCCGATTCAATTTTCGAGAATGTACCGATTCTTGAGCCTTATGTAACAGCTCTATAACCAACAACAAACAGTACCACACAAGCATTTTCCCCATAAAGGACTCTGTGCTTACTTTTCCGTGATCGCTCAGCTGTTCGTTTCGATCGAAGCGATTCGGTTAGCAAATCCGTGGAAATTCATTTACGGAACAGATTCTAACCGAGACGTGTGCGGAATGCGAAATCGAGTCTCCGGGAACGACCTTACCTCGAAACCGTTCCTGTATCAGGAGACCAGCAGCTGTGTGACAACATGCCCTCTTGGATACGTGTAAGTTCAATGTTTACATGCCATGTTATGAGTGTTAATAGGTCGGGCTGAACCCTCGACTAGGAACAACTGGACTAATAGAGAAGATAGCACGTTTCTGAACGGTTGTGTGGTGGATATGAAAGAGACCAGTAATGAACAACCAAAACAGAAGAAATTCTATAGTGCTTACATTGTGCTATTCTCAGCAATATTCAATTCAGGTATCACGAGTAGTAACAGTCAAAGATGTAAATTATAGTAATCGTTAAGTGCCTCATTGTGATAGAAGTACAATTTAGATCGATGTGTCCGTTCCGAAAGAGTACTCTATGGAAATAATAAGAATTTACCTGATAGTGGCAATGATAGACCGGGAATTAGATTGGTGATTGATATTTAGGTATATGCGAAAGTATTATACCCTCGAACCAGTGTTGAGCCTTGGTATACACAAGTAAACTTAGGCTAAGTTCCGACTGATTAAAGAGGTACATATTATTACAGTTGTGTTCTATAATTGAAATATCTACTGTGTTCAGAAATGGGTTGGTTTTTATCATTTTACGCCTATCCACCAACGCGTAGAATTTCAATGACAACACCCGTTACCGAAAGCACTCTCCAGCGAGCCTACACAATAATCAGATAAATATTTCTTAGCAATGTAAAATATAGTCATACTGCCCGTTGTTGACAAATAATAAAGAACGTAAATTGGAGTGAAAAGATTTTTTGTCATTATAATTTTTTGCTCTGGGATACAGTGGGCTCGACGTTAAGGTCGAGAACTTGCGTAGATCTACGGACACGGGCAGAAAATAGACGCGATGAACACCGTTAACATTTCGCCAACGGCGAAGCCGATAGACAGTTAGAAAATAAGTACCGCATAACAGAGCCCAAAAACCACCTAAACCACTATGAACGCAAAGCCAATTTTACGAAGATTTTATCCTAATAGACCATTAGAATTCTTGCAAATATAACAACAGCTTCGTCAGTAGCCCTGCCCGAAAAAGTTTACCATTTGACCTGATACATCCCGTACAGGTGAGTACAAATGAATCATTTCACAGTAACAGACAATGCGAGTGACTGCACCCCAAAAAGGTAAGCATAAATCAAACTCTCAAAAAGTCATGACAGTTTGTTTAAGGATATTCCTGTTTCTGGTGGTAATTCGTTTTTTTTTCTTAATTATCCAACTTGAACCCATAGGTCATTCGGTGATGTATCATAAGCTTGGGAAAATCTAAAAATGTAGACATTTTGGACATTCTCCAACGTGGAGAATCATCTGATGAGCTTTCCACATGTTGATAGCCGTTTTTTGGCAGCCCTGAAGTCGGAATCCATGCTCAATCCTGATATCGCCTAATTCGAATTCATTTCCATACCAATTTTGATGAATCTTTTTTTTTGTTTTCGTTACTCTGCAACATCATTCTGCTGATAATCGTGTTGTAGATGATAAGGGATGCCGTTTCCACCGGAAGCTTTTGGATATGTTCTTAATACCCGACAGCGACCCAAAATAACTTGATTGAGGCAGAACGTTTATTAACAATTGCAACATGTGCATACGCACAATTCCAGTAACACTACTGTTTTAATTAGACCGGAAATAAATAGCGATTGCGTTAATAAATACATATGTTTTAGTAGTCTAATCAGACCAGTTATTAAATTCTGTTTGCCCTACATTGATTTTTGATTTTCAAAGGGTTTCGCGACTTCAACGATGCGTCCGCGACGCGACCTATTTTCGAAATCTAAGCGGAGCGGTCGAAAGTTCGGAACGTCCTGTCGATTCGAGTCACCATATACAGCAACAGCACCGAGAACAACGGCAGCGGCGCGAATTACGACAAATGTCTCCTGTTAGCCAGGACGCCATCTATCGCTTTTCGATTCTTCCCGGAAAGCAAGGCAAACAAATGGAGGGACTCTTAGAAAGCATTGTCCAGAACATCTCTCTGTGTCGCCTGGAATTGTTTTACATGTGTCTGATAGCGGTTGGATGCAGTGTCTTTATCGTTTTGCTGCTTCGGTACGTTTAAAACACGTTCCGCGGCGTGTGGATGGATCCTGCACTCAAAATGGTTTTAAAATATTGTCATAGAATAAGGTTAATGCGTCAACTTTGTTTGCGGACATTGGACCTCACGTTTAAGTGTTTGCCTCGATTGTATAAGATTCCAACGTTATATAACCGGATCAGTATCGACTTAATGGTTAGCAAAAACGTTTTTGCCTTCGTCGTCTTGCCTTGTCGATACCTGTTTTAATGTTGTTTCGACTAATATCACAGCCTTAGCTATCGATCAGATAGCGTTGTGTGGTTAGGATTTGTGTGTGTCCTGAGCAACAAGACGGATGAATAATTTTTAATTGATAAAAAAAAGTAAAGATGGTGTTTGGGGTTCATGAATAAGACCGTCCTTGGAGCCGAAATAATTTCCCGTAGCTCGATAGCAGCTCGCACTGGCATGACAGATCTACGAGCATATCGTATCATATCTATAACAGTCAGCCGTTTGTAATCCAAGGAGGGATTTTAGCCATTTCATAACAAGATCAAGGGCTGTTAAGTCCTGTAAACCATAAAAACTGTAAATCCATTTCATAAGGTCAAGATTTGTCCTTGTCTATATTTTCGATCTGATAAGCTTTCAAACGTGTGCGCCATTTCTTTCAGGTAGTAAACAAACATTTAACTGTGCACCCATTATTTCGTGTTGCTCGTGTTCACTTTGTTATAGGTTTCTCACTAATTTGATCGTCTGGTTCTTTCTGTTAACTATTACGGCGCTGTCGATCGGCTCGACAATATTCCTTTGGCTTCAATACGACCTCAAGCAAAGACGTAAAGAACCGAGCCACCTTTTCTATTACGGGGCGATTTCCTCTACAGTTGGGGCGGTAAGCAAGGCTAACAGCTGAAAGTCTGCTTTGTGCCTGATTAAGATCATTCGATAGTGGTTTATCTGACTAACGAATATGAACAGTTTAGCTAGTAATGGTTGGTTAGCTGCCTATATGGACAACATGACGATATCCTTAATGGACTACGCGGATAGAAAGCAAGTCGCTTGCTGGGGCAGTGGCAGCTCGTTGACTAACATAAAGCCCAGAAACGTCTAGATTCAAACCTGCCAGAGGTGATATGACGGTTCCTTTCGAGCTAGAGCAAGCACTCTTAGCTAGGCGTAATTAGCACTAGGCCGTACCGAGAGTAATACTCGAAATATCGAGATAGAAATATACAAGCACATGTTTGACTTAGCAGATTGCCCAGTGGGATAAAGCAGATAGTGGCATTCGGAAATTTAGAAATAGAAGGTCACTGATTTTAATGCGATTGAGCATGTGTCAACAGACGCGGTCTTGGATCTTCGAATGTCTTAGTAAAAAAAATTTCCCTTATCTATTTTTAACAGCTGTTGATTTTAATGCGGTGTACGATTTTCCAGGCTGTGTATCTTCTTATTCTCTTCGTACTTCGAAAACGAATTCATCTCGTGAGTTGATCAGCGTCGCTCTGTTTACGAGGCAACAGAAGCTAGAATGAATTGTGTCGCTCGATAGAAATACCATTTTGGCCTCGATTAAAAGCTCGATTGATTTTTGGCGTCTAGTGGAAAAGTTGTTTCGCAGCTCTCAACAATAAGCATGTCTATGAACTAACGATAAACAAAATAACTAAGTAGAACCTCTGTTAGTCAACGGTCCAGCGCAGATAAGCTGTCCGTCAATTTTTCCGACACATTTTATTTCTCAGTAAATCCACTATGTTACTCACATGCTCCTCGAATACCACAATGATAATGATCGAATAATGGTCTAGAAACAACAAAAATATCCTATTCCTCATGTATTGTTTGTTCCATTTGAAATCGTTTTCAGACAGCGACATTATTCCAAGAAGCTGGCCGTGCTCTTTCCTCATTACCGCTTCTCTTTCTACAGCCTCTTTGGGTGCGTCACATTTCGACGATTATAGTGTGCTAACAGCTAGGTCCTCAAGGTCCTCATGATAGCCCAGTGGGTAACGTGTGTGCCTGTAAGACCTACAAGCACGTGCTGGTTTAGGTTCGAATCCATTTTAGTCCGGCCGTAGGAACACAGTTTTCTTCGTGGTGGAAGCCAGCGGCGTAAAGTAATGCCTAACGTCTTAGGTATTAGACGAAGAACATTTAAATCGAAGGACTATAAATTGCCAAAGACAATCATTGGAAAGAAAAATATAAAAAAGTTCATCGCTGTTTGTATAGTTACCATGACGTTCCGTAGATCAATTCGGGAAAACTTACTACGGCTATCCTTCCAGCGGTGGTTATATCTAGAAAGAGGGGATTCCGGGAATCAGCTTTCACAGAGAGGATGATCGAAGAAAATACAAAAAATGCTTAGGGTAAAGATACATCTGAAGACAACCATCAAAGTATTCACATCTATCTAAATAGTGTTAGCATATTTAGCAGTCCAGTGGCATCGTGCTGCGGTTTGCTTGTCGGCGGTGCGGAGTAAAACTGTAATAGTGTTTAAAATCAAATGCCTTTGTTGTAAGTCAAACTATTAAGTAGACGCCTGCATGCAGTATATAAATTTAAAAAAACCTAACAATAATTTGCTTTGTTGACCGAGTTTTGTTGCTGCCAAGGCAGTGACGATTCTGTACACGCTTTCCAATAGATATCATAACCACATATTTCTCTGGTTGGAAGAGTCTCGCGGGGGTAGCTGCATCAAGTTCCAGCAAAGTCACCCGGTGTGAATAGCAAACGTTCTCCTTTTTATGGCTTTTGTTTTTATAAACATACACTTTACTGGCCCATTTTTTCGTTTAGACACTAGTCGTCTCGATCGGCTTCTCCGCTCTATGGCTATATTCGTTCATGTTTGTCGTCGCGGCGGCAGCTGATGTTCAACGCAAACGGGAAGACGAAGGTTATAATCATACCCTTGGCCAAATGGTGTACACGTCGAGCCCTAGTTATGATAAACACCTCGCCAATATTTTCATGGTGGGTTTAACTTCGAATTTCTCCGTATATTGAATAGAATAATGGCTATAATCGAACGCATTCTTGTCTGCATTGGAAAAGCCGGAAGCACATACTCGAAGCAAGTTTTCGATTCCTGGTACATTCGACCCATCACAACGTAGTCGGCGTACCTACTTCAAATAATAATGTATTTAGTTTTCGAAATAGTTCTTTTTATTAATTTATGGGTCAAGTGGTGGTAGACCTGTGCATTTGCGTCTCATTAAGGAAGGCTTTTTTGTCAGTGATAAGCATTTCGAAAATAAGAGATTTGTTTGTGAATAGGGCTCTACTGTTTACCGATTATACTGTCTGGCGACTTTCAGTGTGGTCCATGGCTGCATTTATTGGGACTTTTATGGTGGACACGCATCTTTCTTGCTTGTCAGCATTTCATCATCGCAGGATCCGTTGCATCGTGGTATTTTTCAAGGTAACAAAGCGTCTACGGCGCATCCTAGTATCGGCACTAGCCAGCGATTTTTTTACCGTTTTTCAGCTATGATGATTGAATGATTGTTAGATAACGTATTTATTTTTCTGTATAATATTAAAGTAAAGGAAATAATCAATAGTACTTTTATTTACAGGTACAAAAACGCCCTTGGATTTCCGATTTTACGGGCGACAAGCATTCTCGTGGCATACCATTTGGGCTCCATCATCTTGGGCTCACTATTGACATCGTTGATGCAGCTTTTGCGAATTACGCTGGCGGTTGCGAGCAAGATTGCTGCACACAACCGATGTTCACATTGTTGTACAGTGTGTTGTTCCTGCTGTCTCGCCATCTTCGAGCGATTTTTAAAGTATATCAACAGAAACGCCTATATCTTGATTTGTAAGTAAGACAAAATACCCAAAAATGAGTGAAGAGCATCGAAAATAAACTGATTCCTCATCCGTAATAAAGAAATGGTCATTCAACTATAATAGAGATGAGTTAGTTACTTGATGACCTGATTTAACGAAAACAAAACGCTTTCGTTCTTGCTTACGTTTCGCAAAAAAACTTGGTGTTAATTAGGTTTCTTCCGTGTCTTATATGTTATCTAGCTATCCACGGATATCCGTTTTGCGAGGCAGCCCATGAGGCGTTCGGCCTCTTAAGCTCGAACATTCTGCGTCTTTCAGCCATTAACTCGGTTGGCGACTTCATTCTTTTTCTTGGCAAGGTCGCTGTTGTTGCAGCATCGGTTATCTTCGGTTTGGAAATGCAGCAGGTTTGCACTAGAAGCCTTTTATAAACGCTCTCAACAGCACGTTTGTTGTCATGCGCTTTTTTGCACAAAGCCCAATGCAAGCAGTGTGATATATGAACACCTAATCGTCTCTATCGCTAGTCCCGACCTTTCGATAAACACCGTATGTATTAAGTTAAGGCACGAGAATCATTGGTTGTTTCGCAAACGGTAAGGCGACCTAGGAAACCTAAAAATAGCTGAAAGTCACATTCCTGCACTGCTTTTACCTGGTGTTTGAGCCTTCAGGTTCACGACGACGACGACGACGACGATCATAATGCTACTATTAAAGCTTTTTTTTAAACAGAGACGATTAGTATTATATACTAACCTATAGAATTTTTTATTTGTATACTAATAGCTTACCAACTGGCGTGTCTATTAATCCGTTGTATTTCCACTGGCGTGCCTTTTCAGGCAGGCGAAATGCAGGAAATGGGCGTTTCATATTACTGGGTCCCGATCCTGCTCGGAGCTATTTTTGCATGGCTGATTGCCGATTACTTCTTAGCAGTGTACGAGGTGAGACAAAATAAAGGAGACCTCGACAACACGAATGCACAACTACAAGAATTAAATATATTTTGCTTTTCCTTGTTGTTTTTTTGTCCCTCTTCGTCAGAACTAAAAAACGTGCTCTTTAACTAGTCGCACAAACGTGAACAAAATAAAAGAAAATAAAAAGATGAGTTTTATAAACGAGACAGATAGACTCAACGACGAACTAGTCGTTTCTTATCAATTTTTGATCTACAATTAAGCTTTTTTAGCGCCAGCTTCGAATTTAACTATAACCTAGCGTCAAACGCCTTCTAACTCGCTTCTGAAAAATTGCCGTACTCTAAGCTATGAGGAACTCCACGCCGAGGGTCTGCCAGGAAAACCTGTACTGTAAAAAATCTTCATAGAGAAGATAACTAGATTTATTCTAAATACAAATTGATTTAGTTGTAATGCATTTATATATATAATAAATAAAGAGGCTTTCCTGCAGATGGTGATTGATACGGTGTTTTTGTGTTTCTGCGAAGATACGCGTCTTCACGATGGAACCACTCAACCATATTATATGGGCGCTTCTTTAATGGTGAGTTCTGAATGAAGTTTTGTTGATGGCAAACGGTGTATCAAAAGCTGTCACGAGAAAAATAAATTCAAGATAAGAATGAGCACCTCTGAATACATGGCATGGAAAGTCTTGTGTGTCACATGAAAGTAATTTTTTTATGGTATAAAGCTAACATTCTAAAGGGTATTCACTTTACTATACATGTGCGTGTATTTCAATATGCAATCAAACAAGGCAATTGAAATTCGCCAGTTCTCCATGAACTTGACTAAGTTTTTTATGGTTAGCATTGCGGCGTAGGCACTAGGCCAATTAAGATTTCTTTTTTTTTTTTATTTTGAGATAATCCGTACTATCTATTCGTACCTTTATAGAGAAAGAAAATATACATCGAGGATTTCATTTGAAACCACAGATGTTTGGCTAGTCTCCCAGTAACAGGCCGTACGTCCGTGATCATTACAGGCGTTCGTAAACAAAGGACGTCGGAAGAAACGGAAGGTCTCAACAGAGAGTGCGGTAACCGTCATGACGCCGATATCAGAGTAAATAAATTGCGAAGATGCTCAGAAATTTGGGAAAATAGGTTCTTGAGACGGTTCGCTGTGAACACGATAGTACACAGAGATAACGGTGTCCGTAAAAGTGTGGTTCAATATATGTATGTTAGGAAAACTATTCTGCGAGAAATACTAGCGAAAATTCAATGTGAAACGGCAGCTTAACATAAAGTTATAGGTTGCGAGCATTTTCGACGAGTCGGGTCTTTTTAAATGAGATAATGCACTTGGACAACTGATGTCATCTTCTTTATTCATATCGTGCATAGGGACGAGTGCGCGCTGAAGCTTATTCATTAAGAAACAGGAAAACACACTGTAATCCAGAGCCACTGGGGGGATCCCAGTTGAAACTATAGAAAGACTAGATACTTGACTATATGTGTATAGCACCTTTCAAAGGTAATCGGTGTAACTAACGTTACAAAAGTAAAAATGCCAGAGATTAATAACGTTTCGAGGTCGATCTAAACACCATTTGAAAATTAACTGACACCACCACCACCACCACTACCCCTAATTTTTTCAAATAATAACTTTCTCCTTCTCTATTTTTTTTTTTTTATTCAAAAAGAATTCTATTTTAGTCCGATGAAATAGTTTACAAGCTTTTTATTTTAGTACTAAATCCGTGACAGCTTCTTGCACTGCACAAATACGCACCTATATCTTCATCGCACTGGAATCGTACCATTAACATTATCTTCACTGTTCTGATTACCTTTGATTGCTGTTGGACTGACTTGAAGATTTCGACACAAACCTACCCTATCCGATACATAAACGGCAAGCTTTTTAAAACGTAGTCACGAAGACGCGGACCACACCCAATATTGCCGTAAGCACGTCCACACGACTTAAGAGTTTCGTATCGTATTTGTATAGGCATATATCTTTTTGCCTAACTTATTAAGTCTGACAATCATAAACACTGGTTTATGTCTCGTCCCATACCTTGGTGCGGACAGCTGTGGTTTTTGTTTTACGTATATTGATACGACGTAGCTTGCACAACAATTTTATTGATAAATAATCCTAATCGGGTAAAGTTTCCGGTTCTCATGGAAAAATCCTAGCTTTATTTCTTTTATCAGATCGAGTTGATGATAAACATAAAGTGAGAAAAGTTTATTCTTTAATGAAGACTGTTATCTAACGTGCTATGAAGCTCGGAAAATCGTTAAATCTCAAATTTTTCTAACAATGTGCTATATAAGGTTGAAAAAGGTGCATGTGCTGAATTAGGATTGCGGTTATGGTAGAAATCGTTCGACAGAGCAGTTTGCTTGTCGAATTGAAATTGGAAAGAAAAAAAAACACTTTCTATACATATAAAACGAAGAAAGGAGACGACAAAAGTAGATACTTAAAAGTCTGTGTAAATGATCATACTTTTTGCTGTGACCTATGTAACAACTGTTCATTTTCGTGAATAAATAATCAGGTTTTGAACTAAGAAGGATTAAAAATTATCGTAATCTTTTTAGCGTATAGCGATATTAAGTGAATCATTTTATCTGTTTCTGCAACTAAGTCGATCGGCCTGCATGTAGTTCTGTATGTGTCGTTTTACGGGAATTGTGACTGGTCGTATTGGGAATTTGAAACTGACGTAATGGGGCCTGAAATATCATATATTAATATATAGCCAAGAGCCTGAAAGGTGCCAACGGACCACTAAGAACTTTACCCGAAGCAGTCCTTTGACATTCGTATGTGACCGATACGTTAACAATATTAAAAAGGAAATCTATACCAGTCGATAAGTTTGTTGAGATCAAGTAACATAGGTTCGGGCATTTTTTAATAATAATCACTGCGACATAGGGCATTCATAGTGACGGGCTTACTCCACAATACAGCCATTGCATCTAAGTAGCTCTAATCTAATTTAACTTACATTAGTAAAAAATCGTCATGAAACTTATCTAGCAAAGCCGTCGATTTCAAGAAGCAATACTTTGTCAAGAAAGCGACATGCTACTTATATAGTGAATAAATCAAACTGGGGTTTTATCGAGCTTTAAAGAATGCCGGAAGCCTGCAGCTTCCGCTCGCAAGTGACTCGATGTACATGTATAACCGTCTTAAGTATCATAAAAAAAACCAGGAATCTTTATCGTAATCAATTAGTATTCTAACCATTTTGAAATGTGCAATGAGGGGTCATACTGTACACTTAGGCAACGAAATTTATTTTTGCTCAATCGTCTGAAACATTGTCTCATCTTATACCTTCACATGTGTTTATATTTCTGTGTATATATTATAGCTATTACATTGTCTGCGTCTCGCAGACCATCCGGATGCCAAGAACACTCCAGCCGAGCATGACGAGTGTTACTAAGTATGAGTTGTCTTTTTCACATAAAGGTTGTGAGAAAGCATTAGATCCCAAATTACGTCACGATGTCATTCTGTGATTTACTCTGTTTTTACCGCTCTTTACCGATATTTGGTTATTTTTATCAACCAAATGGATTCAACCGTTTACATGCTACCGGTCCTTGGATTCTGTCGAATTAACCGGATCGCCTATCTTGATAGTTTCTCAGGCGACCTCTTCATTGCAGCCTGTTTGTATTGAGGCCTGCTGCTCATTTTTTTGCACACGCGCATAATGTCAATCATTCACACCGCGGACCATATACATATATGGTCTTTCGTCCACACTTCACTGATTTATCCCTTTCGCTTGGTATAAGCTACCATCAAAAACTACTTCAGAAGCCACTTACATTCATACTGTCTTATCAGTCACTCACTAATCTTTTCCTGCTACATGCTACTAATCCTTCACCGGTACGAGCGACAGCAGTAAATATGATTCTCATAATCCTCAACCTAATTCGTGTCAAGCGATTATCAGTCTTTCTCGCATCACATGTTGAGCACGCGGCGGCCTTATGGACCTACATGTGATTTTTGCAGACCCCATCTTGTAGCAGTTAGGTTGCGATGAAATCACGTTGCTAAATGTTGGCCACCGTCTTTATAAAGGCCTTTCTCGCTATGGGTATTTTCGTTGGCAATGTTTTTTCCTTTTTTTTTTTATATATAAAAAGTGGTAACAGATATTCTTCAGCTCATCCATGGCCATTTTCTTACAATTGAGGTATATTTGCTAGCTCGATTCGATCATGATGGACAATCAATATCAAAGATACATGAATTCGCGACCTATTTTGTTGGTGGCCTGTTCGTTCCACGAGCGATACATTTCTAATGATGTACCTTATCAAAAGAACGAAAACTTCATTATCAAGTTCACTTAACATTTGCTGAATTATTGTTATATTGTCAATAACTGTTTAATAATTCAAAGGTTTGTTACAAAGAGTAAATTTGCTATTATCAATCCCGAGAAGACAGTGAAATGTAAATATGTTCTTAGCGGTCAGCCAAACGATAGAACTTAATTTATTGTATGGCTAATGTTCAGAGTCTGGCGGTGTTGGCTGTGTAAACTTTTATGCTTTCTTCAATTTGGTCATTAAATTGTGTGATCTTTATATCGGAACAATTCTGTAAACCTCCTCTACATTTTCGTATCTCTCTTATATCATCACTTATACCCCATTATAAACACATACAGTAGATACCCACTATCGTCAAGAAAAGTGCTAGGAGATCAAGAAGCGTCAATAAATGCAACTAATAGATGAGCAACTTCGATCAGGCGCCAAGACATATTTGTTCCAAGCTTATTTTTCTCTATAGCAGTAGGACAGCTTTCAGACGCACTGTCGTTCCGTTTCTCATTATCAATTATTATCATCATCATCATCACCATCACTTGTTTATACGAATTTCTTCAGAAGCCCTATGTTGCACTTCAACTTCGTGTGCGCAGAATGTAATGCACGAACATTGGTCAGATCGAATTGGCATGGAAAGAAGCGCCGATGGAAGTCGGAGCTTGCTATCTGTCGTTTCTCCTATTTAGAGACATGTATAGTAATAGACAAGACGTCTCTTGTGCGACTTGATCGACGAAGTATCGCTGCTTGCGTCGATTTCGCTCAGCAGCTTACGAACTTGGCGGGGCCCGTGTTGTGCGCGTTTAGCGATCTCGCGCTCGGTGAGACGCGCCGGCTGAGGTCCCTGAGCACTGCCTCCTGGCCCGAGATCGGTCTTGGCTCGCCTGAAACGCCTGCGGCCTTGGATATAGAAGTCGGAGCCCACCTGCGCAAACGAATGGCCGAGATGCTCAATATTCTACCCAACTTGAGATTTTCCCATTTGTTACTAGTAAACTACCCTTTATGCATCTTAGGGCGCAGCCCTAAATTGTGGGCATATAGTTTATAAGGTTAGTTGTAAAATTATACGGTTATTCCATAGCCCCTCAGATTAGACTACAATACATGTCGGATTATGTAAAAAAAATAGTTGAAATGATCAAATGAAGAAAACACACCGCGTATAGAATATATGCTATCATACACGCGCACAATACCGTGTATATACGCCATATTAGTAGGATACACTAAACTACAACAAATATCTACAATGAATCGACAACTACTTGCCTCGGACGGTGTAACACTTAGCTGCGAATGTGACACTGGGCTTGATCCACGACTGCTTGAGCTGCAACAACTGAGCGGATAAGCAGGTGACGGAGATGGTGACGACCTGCGGTACCCTTCAAGTGCCTGCAACAAACTGGGACCCAGAGCCTGGTGTCGATGGTGGAGCTGCATATCGGGTGCTCCTCCGACGCCTCCACGATAAATTAATCGGGACAGACGCTTAGCGTCTGCCGAGTTTGCTATCATAGGGTTTGTCCTTGAGGAACTGGGAGGTCTTTCACGGAAAGTGCGGCCGGACGCCGGAAATGACGAGGATTTTTGAGCTATTTCTGGAGGTACCTGAGAAGGTCCTGGTCCATAGCTTGGTAGGCCACTATCTACCTCTGTTGAGGCCAAAGGCGTGAATATCAGTCGGGCAATAACTGATGCTCTTCTAGGGGTGTCGTGACTGCATCCCGCTCGAGGCTGTAGTCCTTGCCTTAATGCAGTCGAGGATCTTACTCTTTCTGTCTTAATAGTCTGCTCAGCAGGAGTAGCCCGTTGGTTAGAAGTGGAAACCATGGCTTCACGGGCTCGCCGTGAAAATTCGTCAGTGATCTCTCCTAGCAAATCGACCTCTAAGTCTTCATTTACTCGGTAAGAGAACGCACACGCCTTAAATTCGGAGTTTAAAGTCGAGGTGGACAGGTTGTCTGGCGCCCTAGCCGGTGATACCTCCCGAGATCTCGCAATCGACGTAAGGTGATGAGCAAGCTTTGCACCAGCCCCCCGCAAGGCTGATAGAGCACTCATGGATTTCGAATGTGTCACGCCCTTAGCAGTCTTGTAGAGTCGACCAGGTTTAGGTAGACGATTTCTCAACAGCCGAGACGTAGTTGTTTCCGATTCGCTCGATACCGTAGTCGCTGTAGTCGTATAGTTCTGTGGCGGGGTATTACCAGTATCCGACATTATGGAAATGCCACTCTCTGAATTAATCGCAATGACCGTTCCCGGCAGACTCACATGACGCTTTGGTTTCGGTATTGGATTGATGATGGTCGGATCAACTCCAAGTGGCAGTGTGGCCGACAAACCTGGCGGCACCGCGCTGTTGGCATGATCACGTCTTGACGGATTTAGAGTTCCATCAATGCCACTTGGGCGCGTGATCGTCTTGTAAACGATTCTCGTTGTTACGATCCTGGTCTTTCCTTCGCCGCTGCCGCAACTCCCGGCCGTTTCTGATGATGCATCATGACTTCTAGTGACGCAGCCGCCATTGCTAGCCCCATTACTTGTTGCGTACCGATTATCTTTTCGTGTTAATCCCCGCTGTCCTGTCGAGGAAGGTCTGTCATCCCCAGGGCTCACAAGGTAAAGTAGCTTGCTCCATTGAGCTCGCTTGGAATCGTCTGCCTCCAATTTTCTGCTTTGATTTGTCACAACGCCACCCGGTTCCCCGTTATCGGCCGTTCTCGATGATGGATTGTTCGTCATAATGATCTGTGGCGTTAAAGGAATGCGATGGTGGATGCTGTGACTGCTTTCATTGTCGACATCGATTCCATTACGATGGTGGTTTGCCTTTACCGAAGTTCCCGAATATGGACGCCGATGAGGTGGAATTGGTGGAGGGCTCTGATGTGGGTGCTGTTGAGGTTGTTGAGGCTGATGATGAAGAAGATGATAATGTTGATGCCGTTGTGTTCTTGTGTTCACTGCAATTGCCGTCCTTATTGAAGAGTTTGTGCTGGTAGTAGCCGTCGTTTCTGAAGTTGATTTTGATGGCAGCTCTTCACGTTACGCGTGAAGCAAGTCATGGGAGCCTCTCCGCGAACGTGGATCGGTGGCGGTGTCCGGGGTCGTGCAGCCAGATGGAGTTCCAGACCTTGAAGTGTCTTTTAATTTAGCCTGCATCTGAGCCAGCATCTCCTGCATCTTTCGTAGCTGCGATAGTAGGAATAAATCGAATAGGAATATTGAAAGAAGGGTGAGTGCCTTGAGACCCTTGTTTATTAAAATACTTGATATGTGGATTAATGCGGTATAAAACTAAGATACGTGCTTTAATTAAATATATTTAGCTAGTTAATCAATACACAAGGTGGTCAAAAGCTGGTTTATTAGGAATATGATTTAAATCTATGCTTGACGAAAAAAATTCACTTGCAACTAAAGGCAAAGCTGCTTTCTTACGGGTCCAATCGCATACTGCATTAATTGGAAGTGCATTTTTCCGAACTACAAATATATTTTTTCTTTATTCTCCGAACTCACATCATGTTCGATTATAAAATTTACGTTTCACCCAACGTCAGTAATTTACGGTGTCGGTTAAAACGGAAGGCGCTCACCTCAGCTTCTTTCTCCTGAAGCAATCGATCTGCTTCCGACAGACCTGCAACGGCTGCCTGTCCATCACCGTCACCCGTTCCTGCTCGAAGGCTTTGAATGTATTCGGCACGATAGTTCTCGTAATGAACATCTCGGGTCACCTCTTTCAAGTCCTGCATATGCGAACTGGAACATCGCCGAAAACAGAAGCCACTACGTCAGTGAACCTATATTAAATCTTTCGTACTTGCTAACTGACCACAATGGAAGTACGTGCCACTACTGAACTGATTCCAAGTATTAGTTTTCTATCTTTTGTTTTTCGACGCAACCAAAGCGATGGGCAGCTCGCAACCAATTCGTTTCTCCATAGGATATAGGCAACCTTACAATCAAAATATAAAACTAGACTTTCAAAAATGTATATATAACACGTTCGCAGTACGGCAACCACGTTCCGCCCGGACAAGGAAAAGAAATTGATAGTTGAATATCGATAGGGAAGCCAATATTTGGAACATCTATGGAGAAACCTACAGGTTGGGGCTAGCCTAGCTAACATTTTTTGGTACGATAACAATAACAGGGTGGTTTCAGCCATGTACTTGCTAAAAACATATAATGAGGACGCTACTCAAGCAGAACGCCGCATTTCAGAAGCGTAAGCGGGCCGCGGTCAAACGTCAATGATGGTTGAGTTAGATGGATAACCCTGCTAGGCGGTCTCAATGAGAAGTTTGCACTAGATGAGGAACCAGTGCCACTGCAGATTTCAATGCGCAAACTGTATTCCATGTCCTGCAGCAGCCCTGATCCCTTAGCGAGGGATCATGGTAAAAACAGCAGAACACACATTACAGGCCTATGCATGTTGTGCCGCGCCAAAGAACACTTACACAAATATACAACATTCACACAATCTAATATTTTATATTATGTTGTTATATCCTTATTTATACATGTTAGAATTTTATAAGCAGTCTTACATCGACTAAAAAAAAGGGCGGCAGGCCGGCATTTTTAATCTAAGGTGTTTGTTCTGTATCGCACGCGAAGATTCAGTCGCTCCAATCACGATAACTCGACTAACCATTTGTGTACGTTTATCCTTATGGTACACTGAAAAAAACTAAGAGGTGTTGCATACAGCCAGAGACTTACATCGTGGAGAAAATTAAAATGTTCTCTAATACACTATCGTTCAATAATTCAATTTCTGTCGTTATTACCGTTATTTTTGACAGTTGCCACGTTAAGAACCACTGACTTTCATCAATGATTTCACCCGAAGCCTCAGAACGGTTTGCTATCTTCATTAAATTCCGGTGTTTTTTTAATGCCAAGAAGCCTTTTGGAAAATGTCACATATGTTGTCGCATATAAACGTTTATTTTTTGATAGATTTTTCACCAATCTAAATCGATTTTTTGTATTGCCATCTTTGATCAGTTCTATGTTGTTGCAGCGTAAACTACAAAAATGAGTTCTTCGTACGCTCCTGGCGTAATGCTCTGATATCTAATCAGTTCACCTTGAAAGCAGCCATCATTTCTCTCCTGTAATCTCTTCTCGCGATTCCCCCACTGCCTGAAACGAAACTCTAGATACCTACCTCAAGGGCCAACAGACAGGCCATCTTTGTTGTTTCAACAAGGGTGGTAAATAGTTCAGAGACCTAAATACCTACTGAACGTTCACATGTTTATAACAATAAACGGGGAGTTCCCAATAGCAGCGTCACGATGGGAACACCACAACCAGTTGACCCACAATACCTTGCTAGGGGTGGCGGTATGCCTAGTCACTATGCCTAAGACCGACTCACTCGATGATTCATTTAAAATTATCCAGGCATTTAACAGGAGGTCATTTAAAGCTTACAACTGACTGCAAATGCAATTATACGACTTCCTAGTTCCCATAGAGCATCGCATTATTTAGACAGCGAACCTAGGAGTAAATGCATTGCCTCTCATTTATACCCGCCAACCGAGGAAAAAAAAGCCTACTTTTTCAGTATTCCCGTTAGGCAGAAGGCGAGCTATTCGATACAATCATGTTATTTTCTAAGCTGATTTCCTTGGAATCAATTTACCCTTTATCAGAATTTACTTGTCTCAGTTTCGTCTCGTCTCGCCGAGTCATCTTTGCAGTACATGAAATAAAAGCCGTCTGCTTTTGAGTCATTCAGAGGACTGTCAACGGCCATACTCTGGCATAAATAATTTCGATTTCACCAGACAGCAAAACTTTACACCTTCACGTTTCAACCACGCTTTTACATACGCTATCTTTTTCTCGACTCGTGAAAGCACGAGTTAGGTTAACACTATTGCATGCCCCTGTAGTAATGCAACGCGTGATGTGTTTGTCTGCTAAATTTAGGGATAAGTGTTGGTCTATCACAGATACCTCCCTCGTCTGTAAGCTTATGGAAAAAACGACACTGACTAGCTCGTGACAAACTTCAAACAAATCAAGTGCACAGCTATAGTACGCTTAGACACTCACGCGGATGCTAACACACGTCATTCTCACCATTTGATGGAACGGTATTTTTGCTATCTAATGAGCTCAAAGGCACTCGAGAAAGTAGGCCAAAAAGCACAACAGGTTTTCGATAAAACAGACTTTGATATTGCTATCATTATTAGTGTTCGTATATGATTTCATTATCCTGGGTTGAGCAGGTAGATGCCCTTTGTCGCGTGTAAGATTGGTAACAATTTTTGTTTTAATATCTACTAGTACAGTCATGCTTGGCGAACCGACATGAACGAAGACGCAATATCCCACATTTCTGCACGTACAATGGGATGAGTGCTCTGAAAAAGTTGCTTTTTGTTTTGTTGATACTAGTGTTGGTTTTAAAACAACTATAAACTCCTGGCTTGCATCTGTCCAAATTATTATTCAATAAACACCATATGAATAATGGACAAAACGGTGGAAACCGACTGAATTTTAACCGCCGCCATTTCTCACCACAAACGTACAAAAAAAGAATTTGTACGTTATCCTATTTTCAGAATATATATATAGGGTCAGGTAGAAAAGTCTTTCTGGTTACTGGTATCAGTGATTTTTTCTAGCTCGTGGCGTTAAAATTGGAGGCTTATTTGAAGGACATTTATCACTGAACGTTATATTTACATTACAATAGATTGAATAACATTCGACAATGAATCGCGCAATATGAAAACGTCACTACATAAAGACATTTGGTATAAGTCAATTGATTTTTGATTCTATATAGTAAGCATCTACTTTAAATGTACTATGAGTTGGGCTCTAACAGATGTAATTGTTATATTGTTTTAGTGTACTGGTTTTTCTGTTAGCCAGCAGTAGGCGAACTGTGAATGGGTCCCGAGTGCCTTTGAATTCATTAACGAGACCAGCGCCTAGGATGCTCAACGATATCACGCCTTCCAACGACAGACAGTCCGTTATCACCAAATGAACTTTTTCCATTCTCTAATTGATTCTTCGAAATTTTTTGTTCTCTTTCGAACGCCAGAAGAACATCCAGGCTAATATTTAACATACGCAATGGCGAAATAGTACAACTGCTTTTTCGAAACGACAGCGAAGCAACAGATAGCTGTGGTAAGATTTACTTCGCTTCCAAAAATTCGGTGAACTACGAAAACTGTAATCCACTCAGTCAGATGTGAAAAAATGTGGGGCATATTTGAATCTATGGATCGCATTCTGCTCATTTTTGGGTCATTTACATCACGCTGCAGCAGGAAGGCGTGAAACGTCTCTTGGCTTTGTTAAGTCGAAAGTGGATCTGACGGAAGGAGTCATTGTGTAGGTGGCAAGGAAACAGCACGAGCAGCCGTAAGGAGGCCAGTTTCTAGAAAAGTCTAAACAGGACGGAGGAGGGCATGGAGCCATGGATATCCTTTTGGATTATCCATTCGAGACAATGTAATTGTGTCGAACTGATCGAATGCATCACCCGAACATCGAGCATCTACCTGAACAAACCCATGATAACTCTGCCTCAATCATTTGGCGACGAGAGGGATGAGTCAACAATGTCGTGAGTCGCGATCGAGCCGCGAGCGTGTATCAGTGACAACAAATAAACAAGGAAAAAACGAGAGGCCAAGATAACAACATCACAGCGGTTAGAGACAGATTAGTATTAATCATAATAATTATAATTATAGGATAAATTCATTTATTTCTTGTAAGCATGGCTGTCTCTTTAGGAAGGTTAAACTATTTGTTGGTACTGAACTGTCTTAATTCAGAATGAATAACAGAAGCCTTTTTTAGAATGGCTGTAAGTGTAGGCCATTTTCTTTATCAAGGTTTCATAAAGATTTTTCTTTTCTACTAAGCGAATGTTAATTAAATGTTATAAAAGATCCCTTTCATTTTTTTTATCTTCATTCAAAATTTACCTGATTAGGAAGGTGCGTAGCTTGAGAAAGTCGGAATGTTTAGGGTTTTCGACTTCGACCACACCCCAGGGGTAGACGCGGCCTCGCACCTTTCGACCCCCAACCTCAACAGCCTGACAACTTGACACCACCGCAAATGGTATACTCTCCTAGAATAGATCGATGTAACAAAACGAAATATGCAAGCAAAATACTTATAGCTTGGTTAGCTTTTCGGACAGAGCAAACGATATATATATTCAAATGTGACGCAAAATAGCCTAGCTGACGACGTGGACCCCAAAACTATTTTACAAAAAAATGTAACTACGCAGTTTTTGTGAATTGTTATTATCAATATACTTTGACAATATTATTGACTACTGAAAGACAAGCCTGACAATCTGAAGGTCGGGTAAAATGATAACGTAAGCTAACACGCTCAAGACAGAGTGAAGGTACGAAGCTAGCCAAGTTCAATATTGAATTTTGTGCTAAGCTAACCGACTGCGCAATTCTTGTTATTACCTTAAGTTGTCGGTCAGTGTCCTTAAATTCGTCATCTTCATCTTCGTCGCATTCGGGTAGTTGGTATACCATGACTTCATGGCATTCAAGCTCTTTAAGGACGCGTTTTTTCAATTCGGCAACCTCTTTCGGCGTAAGCGTGTCTGCCTTCGCTATTACTGGTACAATGTTCACCTAAAATATTAAGTTCAACAACAGTTATAAACAGACGGCTGGATGGTGTTTAAATCGCCATGCGTAATTCTACAACACTGGTTAAAATATAGAGATCGAATCAAGACAGCGCACATTGCCTTTGCAGTAGGTAGGACATATGCCCCCAATTTTTAAGCGTATAGGCTTGGTTTTCCGAAAGGAGGACGAATGTTGAACATAAATTAGTCCGACCTTTTTATGTAGCCGCTTCATGAACTCAATATCCAGTGGACGAAGCCCATGACCCCACGGCGGGATGAAGTATAGGCAACAGTGCACCCGGTTGTCAACGATGTTCTTTCGATTGAGTCCGCTTTCATCGCGGAAAAACTGATTAAACTGTTCGTCAATGTACTTCTCAATCGCGCGCCATGAGTCCTCACAGTTCAAGGCATCGCCAAACCCGGGCGTGTCGACCACCGTCAACCGGAGTCGAACTCCTTTCTCTTCAATCTCCATTGTTTTCTTCTCGATATACACGGTCCGCTCGATACGCTCTGCAAAGGAAAGATTGAAATAACACCATTAATAACGATAAAGGCAGTCGATTCTATGACATATACTAGACGGCATGTTTAAATTATCAAATTAAGAATTAAGCTTCAAATTAAGATTATGTACAATATGCGGCATCTAAACGGGAAGAAACTTTGGTAGGCTGTTTATTTGGCTTTTTTGATACCAGGCGGAAGCCTGTTCTTTTTCGTTATAGTGGTAAACAACGAGTCGTTGCCGCATTTCAAACTATTATAATGCCTCTTAACGTTCGACAAAGCCCTTAACAAGATCAAAAACTTTTTCCCTAAAATCGGCGACCTACTTGAGTACGAGTTTGTATGCGGCTTTGAAAAATTTGAAAGAAAATAAGGGAAACCGGAGGATCCTCAATAGATTTTGGATTTATAAGATTCAAAAATTCGAGGTTTTTTATTTCATTTTTGATACACAGCAATTTTTGGAGAGCAGCTTTTTTGGAGAGGAAACTATCAGGTGCTATTTGGACAGATTTGGTGCTATCCAGACAAGCTCCGAGAGTTCGTTTTTTTTAAGATTTTTTGCACCTTTCGGAAATCTCGTTTGACACATTTTGAGCCCTTGCATCTTTGGGACTTTTAGATTGCTATCGGCTCGAAGTTTAATTTCAAATATTTCATACTAATTTCATCAAAATAAATTATTTTGATGACAAGCGCAAACTAGCGGCAGTGCTTACCATCAACTGAGGGCAATTTTCGATCCTCATAAAGATCCATCAGAAAGAGGGAGTTGATAAGGGTACTTTTTCCAAGGCCAGCTTCACCGACGACCATAAGGGTAAAGTCGAAACCCTTTTTTACTGATTTACGATGCACCTGTTCGGGTAAAGTGGCAAAACCGATCTCACCCTGTGAAACAAATTCAGAGAAAAAACACGATGTTAGATAAAGACAGCATCTTAAGTCGGCACATAAGAAACGTTATTGAAAACGATCTTAGAGCACACAGATCCATTGTGGCTAGACGCATTGTCATCAACGTAAAAAAGGCGAGGTTAAAGCCGCATTCGCTGAAGCCACATTATACTTCGTTCACATTAAGACGCTGCATATGAAGGCTAACATGTGGAACTGGGTGGTCAAGGCTATGAGACATCTATTTGGTTGTAGGAGATGAAGTTCCACAGAGGCACCTACTTGCTACACATGACTTCGAAACTAAATAGTATGAATCGAAACTGATTGGTGAACCCGTTAACAAAGAAGGCACTCACATATGTTAAAGGGACACGCGTCTTTCCTGGACACAAAAGACATCTGCGTTTGCAGATAATTTGCTAATCTTCTAAACCCTGCTGGCTAGGGCTATGGTCCTATTTCATCAGTGTGAATTAGCCTACGTATATTTTGTGATATCGTTACTCACTTATTGCTTTTTTATGTACTCTTTAGTTGCAGGAACGATTGACAGCTAGCAAAGGCTCCAAATGAATGATACCTAGGTGTAGTATTGTTAACTAAGCCTGACTGGTAACTTGCAGAGACAAATTGGGACGGATTGATAATCAAGCTAATGCGGCTTCTTCTGTTCTCATTAAAAAATGATCACACAAAAACAAGCGCAACACTCACACTCAAAAGACTATAAATGAATGTTCTGACATTAAGTAATATAATATGGTGTACAAGAACCGCCATGCTACTGCCGTTAAGCAATGCTTCGAACTGGTTGCTCCCAGCACGAAACGAAGCATATCCATGTTCGGCTCTGAACCCAGACCGCCCCATGTGTTCCCAAGTTTACCTAAATAGCTATAGTTATTTAAATGATCAGCAACTGACATTGGATTTCTTCAACACACAAAAGTCATACATTTTTATCATTTATAACTTCTGCTTGGAGAATAAGCTGATATATTTCGAATAACCTACACACATCGAAAAAACACTTCGCTTTCGTGTTAGACGAAAGCCAGCGCTGCGGCTACATGATTGTTGGCGTTATAGCGTTTTCCATTGTCGTCGTGTTTATTGTCAACTGTGGCGATAGCCCAATAATATCTGCATATCCATCGTTTAGTTCGTGCACCATTTCATGGCTACATTTCGCTATGTCTGTAGACCCATGACCTGCCTTCATCACCAGCCGCTGTTACTTCATTTCGACCTGGGACAAAGCACCATGGTACGCTGGAGTAAAATGACAAGCAACGTGTCCAATGTCGCTGCAAACGCGAACAAGCAGCGCTGTTTGCGACGTTAGCAATTTAATGCATACATTATGTGATAAATAAGTAGGTGATTCAGCATCATCTAGTAAATTGCACACATGAGACGGACACAAAACCCACAAAGGACAAGACGGTGATGCCGTTGCTATACGATCAAATCACCATTAGCCGTCTCGTAACGGATGGTAGCCAACGCTCATTTCGCCGTTGTACTAATAAGACCCGAAGAAAGCTCGCCCGAAGAATGGTCTAGCGTGTGCGTTTGCGCGTGTATATCTATAGGGGTTTGTCTATGAATGTAATTAGTACCGTGCGAGATGGCACGAGATCCAACTAAGCCCCAAGAAACGAATGTGTTCCAAGCTATTATCATCAGCGCTTTTCGTCATACTAGTCCTATCTTGGAATTCCTGCCCGTACCAAATAGGCTATGATCGATATGTCGAACTGCTACGGTGTGCCGCTAGTGATACAAAGCAAAATCGGGAATACGCGTGCGAGCGTATAAAAAATAATAGCTTGAGCTATTTCGCTAATTGGCAAAGCAGACCGCAATCATATCACGTGAGCTGATTGGAATGGGTCAATAAACCCTTAACTCACATCATTTGTAGGTCGATAACATGGTCTATAGACTTCAAACGTGGACGAAAAATTTCCCCCATAAGCGAGTTCTGTGGCAGAGCTTTGATTACGTCACGCGATACGTCTATCTGCGAATAGATATTTATTATCAATAAAATAGACCTTTCATGCTACTTTTATTCTGTAATTTTGCATCTTTAAATTTACCGATGAAATCTAACTTCAGTATAGAGAGTTTTTCGTATTGTCTATAATTCTTATTAAAGATTCCGATAATGCTAAACGTTACAAGTCGATGGTAATTTACGTCGTTCGTCTGCCCCGTTGGTTTCTATTATAATGCAGTGAAGATTCGTCGCAACAGCGCAGAACTAAACACGGTTATCTTCGCGTTCATACGTTCCTTTCAACCATATCAAATCTAATACCGGCCATAGAATCGTAAAGCCTTCGGTGGTTTGAGAAGTGGCTGCGCAGACATGCTTGTCATTTCCAAACAACATCTTCGCAGTGTTTGACGCTGTCTGTCGACAGCATTGGTTCGTTCGGAAGAATATAAGTTTCAGGTAGCTTAGCCTGTGTTGTCGAGCAGTGTTTAGCTATTTAGGCACACTTACAGAATTGGGGTACAGGTTCGAAACAAGGAGTGTACAGACACGCGGTTTCGTTTCGGTAGAAGGAGCCCCTAGCCTTTTTAAAGCAGCGATGCTTAACAAGCACAATAACACCAAACATGAAAATTTCAAGAGTACTGTGTGCTAGCCATTTAGATTGCTGTTCCGCCCAGCCGAATCGGCTTGCTAAATTATGAACAAACACAAACAGACCGCATTGACAAGTCATTGGTAGAATATATTAATTCTTCTATCGTTACATCTTTATTATTATAGTGATCATGGGTACCACGTTTGGCACATTTCGATGTTCTGTGTGTAACCTTCGCGCCTTCTAGGTGTCCGTATTCAAATATAATAATCTGGGACTGATAAACGGTGTTACGCTAGCGGGCTGAGAACGTCTTTTGGAATGCATATGCTCATTTTACATATCCACACAGCGGCACCAAATTATAAAAATGAAACGATTGACTGCAGCCGTACTGCTGATAATGATAGCACTATCTGTACGGGTTCATAAGACTAATAAGAATTGGCATTACGTTTTTATTATTATGACTACCGTAGGAGGCCTATCAGGGTTGATATATGAAACGAATACTTATATCGATTGTAGATTCATCTATCTTGTAGATCTACCTTGCGAAATTGAGCGTCGTACTTGTGCTAGTGCTCTTACACAGTAAAATTTCTTATTTTAATGCGAAAATCGTTCTTATATTGAACTCTGGATCTAAGTTAGTTTGTCCAACAAAGTTTGTTTAGAAAAATCGAAACACTAATCGTTATTACAAGTTACTGGCAAATGTTAGTTGACTTGGCAAGAAGAGACTTAAAACGATTTGTTTGAAAACTTTTACCTGATTACTACTTGAATAGTATATTCTATTTTGCCCTTTGTATATTCACTCGTGTTCTTAGTCTGTTTTCTAGACAGTCTAAACTAACATATAAATATTATAAGCACTTTTTATAATCTATCGATTAAAGTCTCTTAGGGGAGCTGTTAGAATGCGCATTTGAATGACTTTTTAACATCGGCAATTGACAATATCATTTCACTTCAGCTATATATCTATCAGAATAACTTATTACCACCGAGGTACTAGTGCTTTATGAGCCGCCGATTGAAGCTTACGTCCTCAGTCAGGACCCTCTCGTAAAACTAATGCGCTTCGTATGGCCTTCGAGTGTCCTAGCACACGCGCTTCTCTCTAGTTAGAGCATCCATTTCGATCCACGACACGAAGTGCATGCTCCAACGGGCGTCATTTGCCCCACCCCTTCCAGCTGCGAACAGATAGTGATCGCGACTCCCATTCTAGTGAAGAGCAGAGATTCATGGATACCAAAATTGAAGCTTTCTTTCGCAGCCGACAACCTTACATTATTTCCACGCACGGCGACGAGCGGGTGTCGTTTTTTATCGTTGCGAAAATTGTTGGCTTTAGGGTGTGTATAGTGATAATTTACGGTATATTTTTGCACCTGTTCAAAATGGCATATATATGTTGAAGCAAAATTAAAGCAGTTAAACTTAACGACACTTAGAAGTAATAGCGCTTACACGCCGTGGATACTTTTCAGGCGCACTGGGCTCGAATCGAATTACAGAGATTTTTCGTTAGTTCCTTTTGTTGCTTGATAGTACAATTAATGTACCAAGGCAGCTGACCTCAACAAACGAGTCGAAAAATCAATCTACCAAAAATGATAAGTTTCTCTGTTTTCCCAGTACTCAATGAACGAGTTTCTTTAAAAATCATATTCGCGCTGACTTGTTTTGAAATTGACAACAAACAATACCGTTGCGTTAGTTGAATTTTTTTACATCCTAAAGTCTGTTCACACAGTGTGCACAACGGACAAAAATGTCCTAGTCATGTTTCACTTATTAGGTTATAGTATCACAATACGTTCAGTTGGTGCAAATATTCTACCCTTATTTCTACGCTCCAATTATTGGATAAATATTTTCTACTTAAATTTTCATTTTCTCTTACCTCAGGTGCAAGGGGAGAATTTCGGCGGTGATCTCCGGACGGCATTCTCATCCTACGAAGTCTTCAGTTATGCCTCGAAAGTCGACGTCACTTCGGCGCAGCCTTTTGCCGCCTTCTACTTTAGTTCATTGGCTGTCCAATTCGATGAACCACCGTCTACAAGACAATCACCAGTCGTGTTCCACCGATTCTTCACTCAATATAAATTCTAACTTGAGCTATTCGACAACTCATCATTTGAATAGCGTCAGCTGCTCTTCTGTTTCAGTGGTCCGAGGCCCATTAACTCGAATCGAACACAGCGGTTGCGTTCACACAAAGCCACGATTTTATTTTTGCAGATGTTGATTCTTGATGCAATAACAACGGCAATTGAGACGGTTATCCTTTACGTCGTTGCTGTGAGTTGCCCACACTGAGGGGCTTTATGGACAACAAGCCATCTGGCGATGTGTCTCCGGAGCCGATTTCCTTACAACCTCCTAGTTTCGTAAAACGTTTGCTAGTCTTGTTTTTTGGTTTCAATCAGCGCAGTGGCGCGCTTTGGTTGGTCACTAGGGCCACTATCTAGTTATCGTCAGTTCACGGTGGAGTTTCGGATAAAATCCGGTTTTCTTCACTGAATCACACCACTGATACCTTTTTTTAACAGCTCAGTCGATTAATGCATCCCATGGTGCCGAAGCGTTTCCTCGATGCTCTTTGGTTGACTTGTCTTGTTCCTCTGGAGCGCTGTACAGTAATCTTGTCTTATATACATATATATACTAATACGATACTACCCACGTACATATGTATATATAATTGGTAGTTTAACTCGAATAATGGCTGAATGGCAGTGTTTCCCCTTTCCTGTCCCTTTTCTACTTCGTGGTTTACTTTTATTGTTGTTGTTGATGTTGTGCGCCTTTTCTACTGGATGGGGTTACTGGCTTGAACCTCATTCTCTGACAGTAACAACAGCAATACTGTCGATATCTTGTCAAAACACCCACTGGCTGACGCACGCACGATGTGAACCATGTCGGTGCGAACCAGACCCTCGAACCATTCACGGTGGCCAGTATTGTGAAATGCTGGCACCGAATATAGCCGGTAACGCAATACGCTAGAAAGCACGCGAGCAACTTTATGGGTCGCTATAAATTGGCGCGTCAATGGAACGACCACGGCGGAGGACCCTTTCTGCCGTCTACGTTACCACGGAGCCACCGTGATTCCCGCGCGCGTCTTTACTATCTAGCTTCACCAACTGCTGTATACTGTAGCTACGCTGTAGCTTTGAGATATCAAATCGGAAAGCACTGTCAGCTGCGCACTGTTATACTGCGACCGCAGCCGTCTATAACACGGTAGCTGGAAGGCTTCTAGGTCGTTACTAGGCTGGGACTAAATTTTGCTTCACGAGTGAAGCCGATTGTCAAAAAGCCGCAATTACTGGCGCCATCTGCTCTGCTACTAATGGTGTCACTTTTCCTGTTTCTTGCCAATTCACTCACTAGCTGGAGATCATTTGAGGCCTACTCCGTGCATTCTCACTATTTTTTAATCGTTTCAATATAACCAGTCCTGGCTCTTTCCTACGGCGGTCAAAGTTTAACTAATACAGAGGAGACTATTTGCTATTCTTGCTTATTCGAGATCGGGTTGCGCGTCCTGTCAGTTGTACAGGCGGCCACGGCGGCGGCGACAGCGGCGTTTGTGTGGCGGCGCCCAGGGTGTTACCAGTGGAGCGTTGCTCCGGTGATCGTTTGATGCTAGCGACTCACCGCCACTAGAAGCTGTTGCAGCGGTGTAATATGGCAGCTGCCGTGAGCTCACGATTTTGGACTCCGCCTGCTGACAAGCTAGGCAAGTGAATTCAGTCACCAGCGCCAAACAACTGCTCCAACGCTGCAGCAAGCACTACAGACAACATTTTACTGTCGCCGCCGCTGCGGCCATTACGGGCTACTCAGCTCTGCCACTACCCAGGTGCACACTCTCTGCATCCGGCGGAGCACCCAGCGACGAGCTAACCGGAGCACCACGACAAGTACCACTCTGCTCGACAACTACCGCAGCGCTCTTGGCGCTGTTCGCTCCAATTGGAAGCCGCTGCTGCTGGCACGGCCAACGGAACCGATTCCGAAGCGAAGGAGGCGAGAGGGAGAGGGCGAGCGATGTCGGAATTTAGCGCGACGCGGGGCAGGGTCCCGGCTGCTGACATTGCTGGTTTTTGGTCTTCCGGTGATCAGCGGCGAACGAAAGCGAGCAAAACGAGCTGATGCGCTTTTCATAGGAAGTGCTGAAACGGCTGGCGAGCTGGATAGAGGGAGCACTGGACGCGAAGGATTCGATCGGGAGCTCGAGTAAGCAGGCTGAGGGGCCAAGGAAGACAACAAGCAGCGAGAAACAAAGCCTAGAGCTCACTCGAACTAAGCTCGATAGAGCGGAGAGAAAGAGGAGGGGAAACCGGAATTTTCGAGGTCGACTCTGTCTGATAGGAAGGATCTGGCGTTTGATGGCGCCGCCAGCCCTCCCTTCACACAGGCTGTTGTAAAGGTTGGGGCAACAGGAACGGGACGTTTAGGGGCAGGAGGAATTATAAAGGGCATAGTGAAGGCCAATTTTATAAAAGAGTAGAAAAAAAGTAAATTTTGCGAGAAGCAGCGATTTGGCGCAGAGCAAAGAAAGAGTTTTGTGCTCTGGGATTGGGCGAGACTTGCGCTTAGAAAAATGTAGGGAATAAAGACCGCTGAGGTGTTTAGGAAGATGAAAGAGTTTGTTTGTATTCACATCTATATGCCATCAGTGTTTAAGGACAGAAAAGAAGTTGAGTTAACTGTATTTTTTATAGCTAGTCTAATAGCAAGTAGTTAAAAGCGGACCGTTTCATCGCATTGATCAACTTAGTTACTTGTTAGACAATTTCTGTTATCGAAGAGAATTTTAAAAGAATATTCAAATTTATAAATAAAAGAAATAAGAAATTTCATAATACAATATATATA